CAATATAACAGGATCCTTGGGTCAGGTTCTCTCCAAAGAACGATTTCTAACATCACTTGAATGGATTTATATGGGAAAGGTTGATTGCTAAGAGATTCTATTTGGCTGCATAACCAAGTTTATGAGAAAATCCAAGGTGGAAAAGTAGAGTCAGGCTATTTCTGATGAAGCAAGGGATTGTAAGCAACTTTGTAGCTAAATAGTAGAACACTGGCTAATCAGAGCATCTGCTCAATCAAAAGAGCATAGAAGGTATGATCAATGCAGAGAGGACTGAATCACAGCTGGTGACTGAATCACACCTGATGATTACAATATCAAACAAGGATTTCCAGGTGTGGATGAGGTACCACTGGACTCATAAAGAGAATTTTCATATCACTTGACATGGCTTGCAGTGTGATATGTTTCAATAGGAAATGTGCACCTATTCAGCCATGATTCAGCAGCAAGTACTAATAAGCAAGGTGGGAGAGACCATAGATTGGGAAAGTTACTTTTTGGACAACAGCTCTCAGAACTACACAGCCAGCATGGCCAGTAAATTTTCCAAGCTTAGGAAAAGATTGGTACATGTGTAAGTCAAACTTGTGCTCCATAGACTCTACGTACATAGTCTCCAGAAATTTAAGTAATCAAACATAGATTCCCCTTGTGAGTTATCTATTTGTAACCCGTTTATCTTGCCTTTCTGCCAAAAAGGGGGGACTTTAGCCAGCACTAACAAAGTTCAAATAAAATAAGTGCAATTAAAATATAAAGCAGAATTAAAACACACCAGAAAATGATGTGACAGCAAGAACCAGTTTAAAACTCAATGTAAGTGCTGGAGTTTATCTGAAAGATTTTTTCTCTCTGATAGCAGACCACAAACTGGTGGTCAATCTTCCTCAGAAGGGAGTTTGAGGACCTGGAAATGAACATTGAGTCATGGTATTATAACAAAGTAATGCCCATTTGGTTTCTTGGCAGGGGGTTGGATTGGATTGCCCACGAGGTGTCTTCCAATTTTATGATTCTATGATTCCAAATAGCTATGTAGTAGTAAGGGGAGAATATTTTGCAACTTAGCATGTGCTATAAATTCAAGAAAAATTGTTAGTTTTCATCCTGTTAATGCAACACAAATCATTCTTGAATGAGTGAAAGATAAATGCCAGATTTTTTAAAAAAAACCAGATTGTATGTGTTATTTTATTTTTACGAAATATTACTAAAATTATGAGTTTTTGGAGCTTTGCTGGGACTTAAAACTACATAGCATGTGAATATATTTGGGCCAGCACCTACCTTTTTGGTGCAGATAATTTTAAAATTAACTATGTAAATCATTGTCCCAAAGTCTATCAATGCTTCTCACCTTTGAGAATATTGACTGGCAGCAGAATGGGGATAGCATAAGATGATCAACATAGGGAGTCATAAGGAGGAGACTGCAAGTTTGTTTTCTGCTGCCCTGGAGACTAGGACACAGAACAATGGCTTCAAACTACAGGAAAGAAGATTCCACCTGAACATTAGGAAGAACTTCCTCACTGTGTTAAGTAAGGGAACTCTCTGCCCCAGAGTGTGGTGGATTCTTCTTGGAGGCTTTTAAACAGAGGATGGATGGCCATCTGCTGGGGGCTTTGAATGCAGTTTTCCTGCTTCTTGGCAGGGAGTTGGACTGGATGGCCCACGAGGTCTCTTCCAACTCTAGGATTCTGATTTAGAATGACATCTTGCTCCAGTTATTAAATATATATTTGAAACAAGAAGTATAAATGAACCTATAATTCTTGGCTTTGGCTAAAAGTATGGATTATGGAAGGCCTGGACAGAAAAAGTATGAAATGACAATGTTCCAGAGCAGTTTCTCAGAGTTCACGCTGGCTTCTTTTCAATGCTTCCCCAAAGAATAGCCTTTGGAAGACAATATCTCCACATTGATTTTAATACATTTCTTTTCTATATGCAATAATTCCAGCAATGCTGGGTGGAATCAAGAAGCATAACTGTCATAGATTTCATGCTGTTAGAGAGCACTCAATGATCAGGAAAATGTGTTTCAAATCTTCCAAGAGAGACAGTTGGCATGATTTTTCTGTTACATGGCATACACTCATGTGTTTTGAAACCATAGGTGGTATTCATTTTTATGGTTACAAATCCTCCTGAGTGTTCTTATTTATGTGGTCTGGGAGAGGTATGACTTACATTTTTTCTGGAATATAATTATCCACAAAAGCCAATACATAAATGACTTATAATAGTTAAAGCCAATCTGTTTCAAAAATGTTTCATGGCTTTCTCAGAAAAATCTCACAGCCAATTTTCAAATTATTTTACAAACGTTCCTCTAGGGAAAATGGTTCAGATACAATACAACTTATTTAACTGTGAGCAAATGATTTTCACAGTTCTTCAGGTTTTTTGGCATAATTACAGGTATGTTAAAGTTATCCAAAGGAGAGTTTCCAAGAATATAGACTTTTTATGAAAACAAGGACACATAACCATTCCTCACACTAGCGTGGACTGACTAACAAGAAATAACAATAGTAGTAATGCAGTGACCAGCAAGTTGGAACATTCCCTTAATAGAAATAGTATTCTTCTGTCCAGAATCCCCCAGCTATCATAGCTGAGGGAAATATATTTTGTAGGCTTGAGTTTGGAGATTTACTGAAACGAAGTGGCCATTCTGTAACAACATTTTGTCATTTAATATATTCTTTGAAGAAGGTTTTTGCTTTCTTTGTTCTGAGACCCTTCTACACAGGCACTAAAATTCAGTTTGAAGCTGGTTCAAGGACAGGATGTTCACAAAACATAGACTCCCAATGAGCATTCTAATTGGAGGCCAGCTGTGACCAGCAGAACTGTGGAATTTGAAGAGGCATGAATGGGGGGTGAAAGAGAGAAATGTGCCAAGAGGAAGGTGCGTCAAACCAACCTGACTGGCACTGCCCTCCACCTGGAAACTGATGCCCTCACTGTCAAAGAAAATGCGGATCAAGAACAGGGCTCCACAATGACCTACGTATCTACCGCCAAGACACTACACTTGGAAGGTAATCATACTTGAACAATGAGGGACCATCTAAGTAAGTAAGTAAGCAAACAAGTAAATAAGTATTCCCAATGTATGCTGCAATATGAATTCAGCCGGAAACAGCTTGTTTAAGAAAACACACCAGAAATGTTGGTCCAAACCACATAATCTGCTGAAACCAATCAGTGTAATATCCCTGGAATCTGAGTTCAAAATGCAGAGCACTTGTGAGGACAGGGCTAAAACTGAAGCATTTCGGGGATGAAACCAGATACACAGCTTGACCAGAAGATAAACCTCGGTTTCACCTAGCACTAATCCTCATTGGACAGGTTGCTTCTTATTAGTGAATCCTGCTGGATGAAATAGGAAAATTATTCATTGGATTAGACTGATCCACAGTCAGTGGGTCTTTGTGGGCACCATCCAGCTTTCAGTCAATTATTGGGTGCAGTGTCTATATAGGCACTCCGAAGGAAACTGGGTCTTTTTAATCCACACCCTGACCTGGTTTAAATGACTGTGTACAAGTAGCCTTGGTTATATACTACTCAAGTATGAGGAGTCACTAGTTCCTTTTTATGTGTAAACAGTGCATTGCAAGCTTGACAACTTTGCTCACACAGAGATTTCTCTCATTAAATTTCATGGAGTCACCCTTGGTTCCAGGTGAGTGTGTGCATAAGACCATAAACTAAGGGCGGATCCAGACAGGCCTTTATCCCAGGAGAATCTGCATTTTAAAAATGCGGATCTTCCTGGGCATCTGTTCACACACACCTTAGAAAGTGTGTGCTTCCTGGGGTGGGTGTCCAGATGCTCTTGCTCTCCCCCCTCCCCTGAAACCCCCAGACCCCTTTGAAAAGAAAAATAAACTTACCCAGCCTCCGGTACTCTTGGAGCAGCTCTCCCGGTGCATAGAAATGACACACCAGGAGAGCTGGGGGGGGGAGCGAATTTCCTCCCCCTCTTACGCTCTCCTGGCGCATCATTTCTATGCACCAGGAGAGCTGCTCCAAGACTGTACTGGAATTTATTCAGGATTGAAGCCGCTCTGAGTCCCCCCTTGGGAGTTGAAAAGGGCAGGGTAGAAATGTTGGAAATAATTGTCCATGATGTCATCTGGACAGCCCCTTCTTTACTGTAGGAGTTACCACAATAAAGGAGCTGTCTGGATGCACCCTTAGATCTATGCATAAAATTGCAAGGAAATCCAATTAAATTCAGTGGGTTTTACTTCTGTGTTGACTTCTCAGACTGCATGACAAATTGCAATATGGATAAAATATCTTATTTCAACCCCCACTTGTGATACTAATTGTTTGCAAAATAGTAGCCCTACGAATGTGGAGAGATTAGAAATTCTTTTCAGTTCATTTTCAAAAAAAGGGTTTGTTGGGTTCTTCCAGATTGGTCTGAAGTGTAAGTTTGCAGTATAGCTCTTTAGGTTTTGTTAGTCATTGAAAAATGAAAAATTGAATTGAAAAATCAAAGGACCAGACTTTTTCTTTGTTCCAATTGGAATAAGAATTAAAAATAAATGCACTTCAAGGTGGGAAGAAAATCTTGGAATGGCAGAAATGTCATTTAGATTTATTAAAAACACATGCCAAGAACTACAGTATCAGATACTCTTACTTTTCAGCATGTTTGCCCTGTCATGAAGTCCAACATTTGCATTTATCAACATTTGGAAATTTCCTTACATTCAAGAGCTTGAGTGCAAGGAGATTTAAAAGTTTTTAAAACCTTGGAGTTAAAAAAAATCAGAGGTAGTTAAAAGTAAAACTGACAGCTTTGTCTCCTCTGACCTTACAAAGTAACCTATTGTAAGGTTAATACATTGACAACCTCAGTCACATTTAATGTTTAAACGATGGAGCATAGGGTCTGCTCCCAGGACACACATTTCAGAAGCTATGTCTAATTCTCTGAAATAGAGAGACACACAATTTGTATTCATTCAAATTTTGAAGTGGAAAATTTTATTTTATATACTTTTAGAGTATTTTCCAGTTATTACAATCATTGTGCATCCAATTTTAATTTGAAGGTTGAGAGAATGGTATATCACAGTTATCAGAAATCTTGAAAGCGCTGCGCTGTGTCAGCAGAATATGTGACAAGTTAAATGTTCTGTTTTATTGTGAGGGAATTTCTAAATAAAAAAGCTGACAAAAAGAATATACAAAAGGTATGTGTAACATTAAAAAAATCAGCTATGGGTCATTAGTTTTCCTAATTTTAAGCAGATTTTTATTTCACAATGCATGAAAAAAATCATTATCCATCAGTGCTTCGGCTGTTATCATCACAGTTGCTTCTGGCATTTGCTCTAAGGTGCCAAACCAAACTTCAATCTCTCAATCTACAAAGGTTTCTCCTTTGGCTAGTGATATATTTCTGACACTTCCACGGTTTCATTTTCTCTGAATTTGGCAGTAGAGGCTCATTGAAAACACCAGACCAAGAACCTGGAAAAGAAATATGTTTATGGTATTATTTGGCAGCTTTCAATATCCCCCACATACAGTCAATGCACAGCGAGAACATTTTGTTTGCAAACGTCTTGGATTTACGCACAGATGAAATCTGCTATGCTGAAGACTGCGTCCAAAGTAATTTTTAGAAGTATGATTCTCAAATAGTGGGATTTTAATTAAACCCATATATACCACATTATGGGAAACTTAAATTTATTGTAAAAGATGGATTGCTTCAAGGGTGAAGACATGTCCTTCTATGGGGATCTTGTTACTGCTGTGTGCTGTTTACTTAGAGAGGGAGTAGGAATCACATTTTCCACAAGCAGAGAAAGGTTTTTCATTTTTTTCTCTTCTGGAAAAGATAGCGCTCTCCCAGACCAAAACATTTTTGCTGAGGAGAAAATAATTGTGGATTTATTGCTACTTCTTAGACAATGAAATGCCTTTCTCAAATTTTGTGGAGCTTTAATAACAACAAAATAATTGCTGTTTGGAGTTGAACTATACATATGACAGTTATTTGCCACTGACTACTAACAGAACTAAACAAGAAAGTGTTAAATCAGATAGGTCTTGGTTTAAATTACGTATAGGGAACTTCTTTGTGAAAGATTTCATTTTTGAGATATCAGTAGTCCATCAAGAACTTAAATGGCATGAAAAATACTGTAGGTATTTACAGGAATTAATCTCCTCTATTTCCATGTCTGTAGAACAAATTACGGTAAAGGGTCTAGAAAAGTACCTAAAATAAGAGAGCATAGATTGAAAAAGTTAAGCAAATACTACTGGAGAGCTGTGAAGAGTTATTTTTTAAAAGGTGATACCTGGAATCCCTAGACAACATGGCCAGCATGGGAGCTGTTGTTCAAAAAATAATGTTTCCAAGTTCTGCTCTAAAGCATCCATAACTGGGGCTTCTAGTGTCATGGAGACAATGGAGGAGATTATGTTCCTTGCTGTTGAACCTATAGTAGCTAGAACAATTCAAAAGTTTCTCATCCTGCTCAAGACAATTAGCCAGTAGAAGCTATGCTGATTTCTCCATTTATGTTTCATTGTTTTGCTTTGAATCCACCTCAGTTTGGTTTTTCCTAATATAGCCAGTATAATAACTTGAGTATCCTCACCTGCAGGTAGCCGAATGGTTCGGCAGCTGAAGGGCATGGCTAGATAAAATACAAATCTCTGCCCTTTCCCAACATAAATGAGACATTGTTGCTACTGTCCCTTCTACATCACCCTTCATGTCTTTCCTAAGTCAACTGCATCACCTTTCCTATGTCTACTTCTATTGTTGTTTTCATTGTATTCCTTCAAGTCATTTCTAACTTATGGTGACCCTAAGAAAACCTATTACTGGTGGTAGAGGTGGGGTGGGATGGGTAGGTAGGGAGTCTTGGCATGATTTGGGATGGGAATTTGAATCTCATCTCCAGAGTCCCATTCCAGTACACCATTATACCAATTTGGCTGTCCTCTGTGCTTGTATGCTATCTTGAAACTCCATGAGATATGATGGGATATAAATATTTTATGTATACATACACCAACACATTGTTGATTTTCCATGATCTTATCAATTTGTTTTACTAACCATTGTAAATCATGTTGGAGTGAAACATCTATCCTAAAGAACAGTTTTAAACCAACTATTTGGTTACTGTTGTTTTTTTAAATTGTGAAAATTCCTAAATGGAGACTTTTCTTTAGGTATGCATACCCATATGCAAGCACTTTTTAAAATTTGGCGCTGTTATGATTTTTTAAAATAAAAGGTCAACTCACAATTAGTTTTAATTACAGTCTAATTTATACAACTCTAGAAGTGCATCTACTCTCGTAATTCCTCTTCTCTCAGCCCATAAATTTCCCACATAGTTAATTATCACATTGTTACCACATGGTTTGCTGTTGGATCATTTATTCAACATTTGTTATTCTTTCTTATTAACAGTCTTTTACAGACTTTTCTGGCTTCAAATGAAATGTATCAACTGTGATTTAAGTAATAATTCTGCCTTTCTACAACAGTGTTTGGATAGTGACAAAAAAGAGAGAATGGTTATAGACCCTCAACATATAGCGATTCTCATTTTTAATAACAATATAAGCATGGATATTAATGGAAAGATAGAAATGACACATGAGCGTGCACACAAACATATTGTTGTCATTGTGTGCCTTCAATTCATTTCTGACTCATGGCAACCCTGAGGCAAACTCATCATGGGATTTTCCTGGCAAGACTTGTTCAGAGTGGGTTTGCCTTTGCCTTCATAGGAAGCTGAGTTAAACGACTTACACAAGGTCACACACTGGGTTTCTATGTCTAAGCAGAGTTCAAACTCTGGTCTTTATATTCATAGTTCAACTCTCAAACCAGTCCATCATGCTGGTTCTGTCTCTTTCTCACATCATGGCTACCTCTGGATGTGTTAAACTCCTTCTAGCAGCAGAAGGAGAACAACAATGCTAAGGCCTCTTTCATTAGCCCAACAGATATTGCCTAATATTGACTCCTTTTCCAGAAGAGTTGATTCCCATAGGAGTCTTTCAACTAAGGACCATTAGAGTACTTCAATGAGTACGTAACCCGATGGCATATCTTCTCCTATACAGTACTTATCTACCTGGATCTGAGGGCATCATCTAAGGGCCTATCTATATGGGCTATATAAGTCATTTTAGGCTTAGCATGGCTTTGTCTCACCTTTTTAAAAAGTTGTGTTTGGGGCCAGTGTAAACAGTTAGGCTGCCTCCTAGTCTGAAACAGCTGTGGCTGTTCGCACTGCCATCCCACTTTCCCTAAACTTGGGCAGCCCAGGGACGGGGGATGGCACTTTCCTTCCCTTGTTGTTCTGGCCTTAGCAGAGATCAGCAGATATGAAAATGGCAGTGGTTTCCACTCATCACTTGTAGTGAGGGTGGCCAGAATGATGAGGCAGTTGGAAAAGGGAGGAGAAAAATGAGGGTGTGCTTCCTACTTCCCCTCCTCACTTCTCTCAAATCCTTCATTGCTTTGGTTATCTTCACTACAGGCACAGAGCAGCAACAACAGCCATTTTTGTGACCAGTTTCACTTTTGTAGCAAGGCTTAAGTGGCTGTTTAGTGGTGCCAAACTCATTCTGGCACTGATGAGCTGGGTGGATGCCATCCAGCTGCTGGTAGCTCTATGCCACAAGGTGTTGAAGCCTGCCAGTCCTTGAGATGGCTTGGTAGCTGGCTGTGCAGACTGGATCAGCACCATCATTTGTGGAATGTGTCAATGGCCCCTATGATTGTACTTTAGGTACTCCTGGGAGACAAAGCAAGGCATATAGCTATAAGTGAGAGGTCTTTTGAGTGGAGGTATCTTGGAAATGCCAGTTCAAGAATGGCTCACTTAGCTCCTACATAATGGATTTGTGGCACATTTACATTTGAGAATTATTTTACATACAGATGATCTGAGAGACTGTATATCACAATATGTACCTGGCTGACTCTAAATACGCTTTCAGGAAGACTTTGTTCTATTGCACCACTGTCACAGAGTTGTCTGATTCAGGAAAGGGTCTTCTCAATGGCTGCTGCCACATTGTATAATTCCTTCACATGAGAAGCGAGCTGTACTTCTCCCTACACTCTCTTCACAGGCAGTTAAATATCTTTTTACATATGCAAGTATTTGATGATTAACTGGTTTTACTAAATGGTATTTTCAGAACTGGTGATTCTGTATTTTTAACTTTATTTTTATGTTTTTAAGTGATATTACACTTTTCAATTTTAAGATACACAGAAAGATACTTTCTTGAACTATGTTTTAACATTTTTATCACCAGGTTTTTAGTCTGACCTTTGAAAAAACTTGGTTACAAGTCCCCTTGCATCTTATCTTGGGGGGAAAAAAGCAGGCTATAGATACAATGGAACAGTTAAAATAAATAAGATTTTGGTATGTCTGCATTTTAAAAATTTTTATTTTGCAGTTAGTATTATGTCAATTTTCCATTTTACAATACTTTTCTTTCCGGCTCTTAGTCTTACACTCACCAGTTTTTGCTCAGTGCTTTTATTGTGTAGTAGTTGTACTCTATAAGTTTATCAGATTTTATACTTCATCAAGAACTCTTACTAGTGGGCAGTTAAAAGTATAAAAAAAGGATGGGAAAAGATGGCAGAGGTGCTGACAGCACTGTCAGAGCCTCCACAATTTGTTTGTTTGCTTTAAATACAACTAACTTAACTTTAAAAAATAATTAATGTAATTTTTATCAAGAACTAGTGCCTACCTTTCCAACTTTGTTATTTCCTCTTCAGGCTTACCTCCTTTACATATTGTATATATCTTCAAGTCACCTCCCGTCTATGGCGACCCTACATTTTTGTTGGCAAGATTGTTCAGAAAAGATTTGCCACGTAAGACTGAGAGAGTGTGACTTACCCAACCAAGATTCCCCAGCAGGTTTCATGGGTGAATAGAGTTTTGAACCCTGCTCTCTGGAGTCATAGTCCAACACTCACACCACTACACTACACAAGCTTCATTTTAGTATTGTGAACTTAAAAACAAGCTAATGAAAGCACTTTTCAGGATTGAGTTAGTTATAGACATGAGAAAATGCTGGTCACACAGCATGTTGCCTGGAGATGTCAAATCTGACTGCACCTCGAGATCTCTCTGTAGTGTCCACCTCTCTTCCCTAGTCTTCTCAGGAGCAAACATGGCTCCAGTTAATCCAGTAAGCTTCCATACACACCAGAGACAACTTACTAGACATTCTGTGGTGCAACTGGAGCTCCCTTTTCTCTTACCCCAGGCTATGGAGGCGGTGGCAGCAGATGCCTCAGCACCCATCCATATTTTACATGCATTCACTGGGATCAACTCCCTTTTGAATGTACAAAGCAATACTTGTCCCTCCTTGATGGTTGACTTTGGCCAGTCATTATCATTCCACCTAATTTATGGCAGCAGGGACAAACTAAGAATTCCAACCTGAGTTCCTTGGAGAAAAGATGAAATAGAAAGTTCTATGATAATTTATGTACCTCGATGAATGCCAGTCCAAATGCTATTCCCATAACTATGATCATATTGTTCTGTACCATCCTGATGATGACATCTCCACAGTACTGAAAGACAGGGGAATACCAACATGAATACAAATAATCAGTTTGTCATGCATAATATTCTAGTATGAAAGCAGAATGAAAATGAGCTAAATTCATTGTGCTGTACATTTACAATTTAACCACTGCCTAAAGTTTCATGCTAGGAAAAGGCAGAATATTAGTTAATTAAATAAATACACCAGTCAGTGGGATCAAAAGTTGAAAATCAATATTCAGTAAAGAAACATTGTTTACTTGGTCAGCTGCTTGCTTGCCAACATAGAACTTTCTTGAATTGCCTCCTGCCAAGCTCACACCACTTATTTAGATCAACTTACTCCAGTGCACAAGATGTTTAAAGCTTTAGTGAAAAACTTATACTGGTACTGATGGACTCAGCTCAAGGAAGAACCCATATAGTTGTTCTTGAGGACCTAGACATTCCTAAAGATAATGCCTGTTAGGAATGTCTACACCACCAGTGCACCTTAAGGATCACGGGGGAAGATCTAGAGATTCCTGGAGAGGTGTTCTCTAAGGTTAAAAAAATAGCACTTTGTTATCCATGTTTTCCCCCTCTTTCACCATACTCTCATATTGATTGGGTACATGTTTCTTGCTTTTCATTGGTAAAACTGTGGCGAATTTGTAACACATGGCTAACTATTCTGTGCTGGAATATTTTGGTCAGTCTGTATAATTATGATCACGAGGCAATATGAATAAATAGATTGTTATCTAACACAATGTTTCTCAAGCTATTTGATTCTGCATTTGGTCACCAATATCTTGTTAGTAAATTTTTGGTCCTCCTGAGTGACTCTATAATAATTTTGATGGAAGGTGTTCATTTCAATAGGGCTTGCTATTATCCACAGTTTCTTGTTTCTATGATAAGTTCAGGAATGTATTCCTCATGGATATGGAAATCATACTGTACAGTATTTATCCACATACCCTGGTATTATTGCTATTTCTCATTTGTCAAGAGAGTGAAAACATGTATTTAGGATCAAGCCTTTGGTGAATAATATAGTGCAATAGATGGACTTGGAATTATGTGTATGATTACCAGAATGGCCTGGACTATGATTGCGGATAACGTGGTTTATAGTATTAAATGTAATATTTTAAATGTTTTAATATTTTCTATTCTGGTTTTTAATTTTTTAATTGAATGTTTATTTAATTGTATAGTGTGTATGTGTGTGTGTGTATAGGCATTGAATTATTGTCTATGCTGTATGCCTCCTTGAGCCCCCTTCGGGATCGAGAAAGGCGGGATAGAAATATAGTAAATAAACAAATGTGTACCTTACCACAGCAATGTCAACACCTTCTTTACTTACTCTGGCCAATCCACCCTTAAGAATGCTACAGCACAATGTAAAAATGCAATCCTACACATTCAGAAGTAAAATTTCTTTGTTCAATTGAGGTTTTCTTGAGTCACATGCATAGGATTATACCCTGAGGCAATCTATTTTCAGTCCCATCTCTTCTGATTAGGGCTCTAACATACTGTTATTTCATTCTGCACCCTTGAACACTAACAGTATGCTATATTAGTCATGCATAGTCTGTTGGCTCATATCATCAATAAAGAAATAGAAGTGCATGTTTTATTATATTCACCTGTATTAGGGCCCTTCTACAATGCTGTATAATGCAGATTATCAAAGAAGATAACGGAAGAAGGTTAAATCATGGAATGATGGAAGAAGGTTAAATCATGGCTCTAGGACCAGGCCTTTGGACAGCAAGTATGACAGCACCTTGGATGTTGAACCAGACTGAAATTGCCTATATGGTTGATGACAATGTTTTCAATGTGTTTTTAACTTAATGTTTTATTTATTGTTTTCAACTGTTGCTATTTGTGTTTATATTGAGCCTTCGAATTGTGGCCAGTTTGTAAGATGCCCTGAGTCCCCCCTTGGAGGTTGAGAAGGGAAGGATAGAAATATTGGAAATAACAAATAAATAATAATAATCCACACTAACTGCTTTGAACTGAATTATATGAGTCTACACTGCCATATTCTGCCATTGTCTGGATTTTATATGGCAGTGTAGAAGGGGCTTTAATCTCCAGTTCAATACTTTTTTTTCAGCTGCCACAGTTGAAAAGATCAGAGTTTTTAGAGATTCAAGTTTGATCTTATTAATTGCTATATCAGAAAAAGATGTACAAAACTGGACACAAAGGTACACGTGTAGACAAAATTTTCACTTCTACTAATTAACCTTCTCCCCACCTCTGATGCTTTAGCACTCTGCTTTCTACCCATCTGTTTTGTGGAAGAGCTAAAGTCAAAATAAGGAGCTCTTCAGGGAACTAAAAATGTCTAATTGAGATTAATGCCTCAGATCACTTGCAAATTTTATGAATGTCATCCTGGAATTGAGCAAAATGCCTGATATAAATACAATGAGCTGGCACATTGTATTTGATCAAATCTGTAGATAGCAATGGTAAATATGAAATCATGTATACATTTGAAAATAGCCTATACTATCTACTTTCTGTGTTTCTTGAAGTGGCTAAAAATATTAACCAGATTCCATCCATGCTTCAGGTACCAGACAACACTTTGCACATCATTGTTGAAGGGTAGTGGTATGTGACACATAGTATAATTCTTCATACCTCTTCATAGATATTGTCTTTGCAGGCAGACGTCCCTATGTCTGCTTTCTCACATTCACACCCTCCTGCAGTTTTTCCCCAATCTGCCTTCCCGTTAAACAAACCACAGCATTTGTTCTGAAAGAAAGAAGAAAAACAAGAAAGGGACCATGAGCATTCACAAAAGAGAAATAGAATGTATTAGCCTTGCCAACATACTGAACATCTTGCTGAATTTTTAAGAAAGAGCAAACATGGTACTAAAAAAAAAATCATATGTAATACCAAATCAAAATTATTATTATTCACAATATTTAAATTAACAGATATTTACAGGAAGGGAAAGCTAAGGGAATGGGGAGAGGACAGGAATCTTCTAGAAATTACAACAGCCTTGGAATACAAATGGCGCTTCCAGACAGTGTAAAAATGCAGGTTTAAAAATTGGAGCAAAAAATCCCAGGACTTGATAGCAAGTCCACACACAGATCTGTCAGTCCCTAGAAATGCTCTCCCACTGTCCTCACACCTTCCTTTGAAGGGGATTTTACAAGATGGAGGAGGGGATGGGGGACATCCAGAGGATGTTTTTTTTTAAAAAAATTGTTCCAAGATGCACTTGACCACATGCACTCATGCGGAGATCCTAATGTACACACAACAGATTTCTTATTCTCTCTCTTCACCTAATCCTAAATTCAAGTTCTGTTTAATGTAATAAATATCAGGACAAAGGAATGGTTGCAGAGATTTCTAATTACTTTCCATTTGTGCTTCCCTTTAGCCACCTGGGTGCTCGTGGCTCAATTATTTGACAGCTCAATCAGATGTTTCAGGTTTTTAGAACACACATATGTGCTCGAGCAGTCCACACAAGAGCTCAGAAGGAATATATGTGCTTTCCATAACTGTAGGGATATATGGTCATACGAAGGTGCACAATTTTTGGGCAGAATCAAGTTTTAAGCATGCTTACACACGTGCTTTTCAGATGTGCATCTGATTCTGTCCTCACTTTCCCAAAAGTCAATTAGCCACCCCATTCTTTTTTATCCCATTTTTCTGGGTTTTTAGGCATATGTAGAAGGGCCCTAACTATCTCTGTATAAATTGTATGTGTTCCAACAAACTCATACTTTTATTTAGGTTACCAAACCTAAAACAGTTTTGTTTTACATTTGGCTGACCCCAAAGACTGCATTTTACCCAAAGACTGCATTTCTAGAAATGGGAGCCAGGAGAACTTCTGGAATAAATGACAATTAAACCTCCATGAGCTGTTTAAGGAAGTCTCACATACCAAAACAGCAGAAAAAGAGAAAAAAAAAACATTCTTCTGGTAGCCCAGAATGTTGCTTCTGGTCAATCCTTGGGGCACCACTGGGGCCCACTAAGGGTGAATCTACACTGGGGCTATACCCCATTTGGCCCCATTAATGTCACACACACACACATACACAAATTTTAGTCTGAACTCAAGGTAGTTTCGAAAGCCACACAGTTCTCCCGCTTGAAGTAACCTTGGTACAAAAGGGTATTTCTACATGTTAATGAATTCACTGTATTGGGTTATTTTAGGTGGCACACTTATAAAAGAAGTGCTTTAACCTCAATATTATGGGTCCATATAGTACCAGGATTAAGGTACTTCTCTCAAGTTAAAAAAGTAGTAATTTTTCCAGCTTCATGGGATTCTTGCATCCTTATCCCCAATGAATGTCGAGGGTTGTGTGTATTTCCATTACCAAATGGATATACACAATGTGTCAGCTAACTACAAGTAAGTAGACTGTTTTGTCTTTGTAGAAATTGGGACCCTTACCTTGTCGCCTAAAACTCCCCATATTCTGTGGGATTTGGAGAGCTATAGTCCAAAAAGAAACACCCCTAGTCTCTATTTTTATCATGCCCATTATGTTCCTAATCCATGGTGCTTTCCTTCCCAAGAGAAAACATACCATCTAGCACTGCAACAGTCTAACTAAGAGCAGTTTTAAGTTTGTTTTTTCACATCTGTCCTGGACAGAAAGTCACTCGCTTCAACTGAAAGCAGAATTGAGCTGTTTCAGGCACCACATAAACAAGAAGCCAAACAATCATCTTCATCATAAGCTAAAGCAGATGTTTAACATAAACTGACTGTGTGTGTGTGTGTGTGTTTCTGTATATGTAATGTGCACATCTTTTTTTCAAAACTACCAAAGCAGGTGCTTATTAGCTTATAAATGTATTTTGGATTCTTATTAAGGAAACAACATGTGCTTATCTTTTGTGGCTAAGAAAGGATCAAGAATTTATCACCTTTCCAGAAAGAAAGGCAGGTCATTTTATGATAATTTTTTTCAGGTGCCATCTACACCGCCGTATAAAATCCAGGTTATCTCCTTTGAAATAGTTTATATGGCAATGTAGCCTCATATAATCAGTTCAAAACAGATAATGTGGATTATCTGCTTCAATAATCTGGATTATATGGCAGCGTTGAAGGGGCCTCAGAGATAACATGCTCTCGGAGGTAAAATAGTGGTCAGAATAGTTGCCACTGGACTGGCTGGAGAACTGGTGATAGATTGGATAGCCAAAATAACAGGCCCCTGTGTCTCAAAGTCCTGCTGGTAAATGCCAGGTCTGTAAATGGTAAAAGAGCGGCCATCCAGGATGTAGTCCTGGGTGACAGTGCAGACCTGGCTTGCATCTGGTTGGATGAACTGGGGTGGGGGTGTTCAACCTCACCCAGCTTTATCCACCGGGTTTCAGGGTGCACCAGCATGCTAGGCCCGGGGGGCAGGAAACCGGGGTTGCGGTGGTCTATTATGAATCCATCTCTCTGATCAGGTGCCCCATGCCGCAATCACCTAACTTTGAGTGTGTCTATTTTAAAGTGGGCAAACAGGACAGACTGGGGATTCTGCTTGCATACTGCCCACCTTACTGCACAACAGTCCCCCTACCTGAGCTAGCAGGGGTGGTCTCTGGTCTGGCGTTGGAATCCCAGTGGCTTATTGTGCTGGAGGATTTCCATGCTGAGGCTTCCCTGTCAGGAACAGCTCAGGACTTTGTGGCCTCCATGACAACCATGGGGCTGTCCCAAATGATATCTGGACCCACTTATGTAGTTGGACATGCTCTTGACCTGGTATTTATTGTGGATGAGGATGAAAATGTCATTATGGAGGAGCTATCAATTGTTCAATTGTCATGGACCAACCATCACCTAATCAGTTTTAAACTTACTGTGACCTTCAACTTCTGCAGGTGTGGAAGATTAAGATGATCCACCCCATTAAGATGGTCCACTCAGGAGACCTATGAATCCAAATGGATTCCTGATGTCTCTTGGGGAGTTCCTTGTCATGGCTGCAGACAATCCTGTTGAATATGGAGGAGATTAGGACTGTGGACATAATTGCCCCTGAATGTCCCCTCTCGTGTAGCAGAATTTGTTCTGATATGGATGTCAATTTAATGGTAGTTCAGTGGATGTACCTGAGGCACCTGTCTGTTCTTTATTGGATTCATTTCAGCATGTTTGGTCTGGTGACATGGACATGATTCTTGGAGCTGTGAGAGTGACCACTTGTGCTCTAGATCCTTGCCCTTCCTGGCTCATCAAACTCACCAGTGGGGAATTGGCTGAGTGGTTTTTGTGGATTATTAATGCCTCACTGGACCAGGGACATTTACCATTAAATGTAAATTGTAATTATAAATTGTAAACCTACTCTTAAAAAATCATCCCCGGATTTCACTATATTAAACAACTATTAACCTATTTCAAATCTTCCTTTTTGGGCAAGCTTCTGGAGCAGGTGGTGGCCTCTTAGCTCCAGGGGTTCTTGGATGACATCGATCATCTTGACCCCTCACAGTCTGGTTTCAGGCCTGGCCACAGAGCCAAGACAGCTTTGGTCGCCTTGGTGGATGACCTCTGCAGAGGATTAAACAGGGAAGTAGCCTTGGGCATCTCAGCAACTTTCGATACCATTGGCCATGGTATCATTCTGAGTTGGCTCTCTGGAATGGTATCATTCTGAGTTGGCTCTCTGGAATCTTCCTGGAGGATTGAACCAAGATGGTGATGCTGGGGGACATTTGCTCGAATCCCTGGCCAATGACCTGTGGGGTCCCACAAGATTCCATTCTCCACCCCACCCCCCACCCCCAATGCTTTGTAATATCTACATTAAACTTCTGGTTGAGTTTTGGAGTTGGGTGCCATCTCTACACAGACGACACACAACTCTTCTACTCTTTTCTACCTAATTCTAAGAAAGCTCCACGGATCTTAAACCAGTGCCTGGCAGCTGTGATGGATTGGATGAGGGCCAATAAGCTGAGACTTAATCCAGAAAAGACAGAGGTCCTCCTGGTCAGTCATGAGGCCGATCGGTGTATAGGGTAGCTGCCTATGCTAGATGGGATTACACTCCCCCTAAAGACACAGGTCCATAGTCTGGAGGTTCTCCTGGATTCTTCAATGATGCTTGAGGCTCAGTTGTTGTTGGTGAGTGGTAGAACATTCACAGTTAAAAATTGTATGCCAGCTGTGACCATACCTAAAAATGTCTGACTTGGTCACAGTGGTTCACACCTTAGTTACATCAGAATGGACTATTGTAATGTGCTCTTTGTGGGGCTGCCTTTGAAGACAACTTGGAAACTGCAGCTAGTGCAAAGAGCGGCAGCTAGATTATTAACTGGGGTGAGCTTTAGGGAGCATACCACCCCTTTTTAAAGCAACTTCACTGGCTCCCAATAAGTTTCCAGGCCCAATTCAAAGTGCAGGTGATTATAAAGCTCAGACAGGCCTTTTATCCTTAGTAATCCATGGCCAATGTGATAAATTATTTATAGGACTGGCCCACACTTTGATTGATTTTTATAACAGATAGCCGGCCCACATGTTTCATTGCATTTTAAGAATGTTATAATTTTCAATTTCTTATAATTTTATCAATGAGATTTTTATGCGCTGTTGATTATACCTATGTTATTGCATTTATACTTATGTATTGCTATCTGCATGTGGCATTTGGAGTGATTCTGTGAGCTACTCCGAGCCCCTTTGAAGAGATGGTGGCGGGGTACAAATAAAGATTATTATTATTCAGTCATTATGGACTTTTTGCCACCAGATGCCCTCAAACAGTCCCTACCCTGAAATACAAGATGGTAGTGGTAGCCAGGATAGGGAGGTTGTTAAATTACACTTTTTGTCCCCAGGCTACTGAGCACTGAGCCATGCCACTGACTAGTGTCTGGTGATTTGAGTCCAGTGTTAAAATGCAATGAAGAGAATATTTTAAAACTGAGAGTTGTAACAATGATGGTGAATTATATTTCACAATTATTCTTCCACTATGATAAACCCAGCTCTCACTTATGTCTGGACGATTGTGATGGATTGGTTAGGATATACATGGGTTTCAAGAAGAGTTCGCTCCAGGCACAGTCAGCCCATTGTATGCTAATCAAGGTGGTCAGTTGAAAGATCCACACCCAGCCCAACTTACAAAAGCCTTTTGTCTCACCCTGGTCATTCCACAGATATATAAAACCCCCTTTTTTCCCAGCTCCAGCAGACCTCACCTCTGAGGAAGCTTGCCATAGATGCAGGTGAAACGTCAGGAGAAATGCTTCTAGAACATGGCCATATAGCCCGAAAAAACCCACAAGAACTGAGTATACATGGGGTTTTTTTTTTTGCCATCTTTCCTGTAAAGTCAAGAGCTCATGTTGGAAACCCCTTCCTCTTTAGTTTAATTGTGTTTTATGGCTGGAAAAAGATGGTGTGAGCTTCTAAAGCCTTAAACACATTTATTTAATAAAATGCCTCTGAGATTTCAGATCAGACCTCTTTATTCTGACCAGTTATACCAACCTGTCCCACTAGAGGCTTACCAGATGTTGTATTCTAGTTCTATAGTCTAAGTTATAAGTCTATAATCTCTCAACATTTGTTATGCTAGCTAGAGTTGAAGACAACATCTAGAGACCAGAGTGTTACTTTATAGCATGGTTCTCAACCTGTGGGTCCCCAGGTATTTTGGCCTACAACTCCCAGAAATCCCAGCCATCTTACCAGCTGTTAGGATTTCTGGGAGTTGAAGGCCAAAACATCTGGGGAACCACAGATTGAGAACCATTGCTTTAGAGGTTTCCAATGCCTAAGCATTAACCAATGTCTTTATTTTCTATTTTTAATCGTCATGCAGCAGTGTCTGTTTGTGTTTTGAAATACATTGTTTGAACTTTGGATTTTTTTGTTTAAATATATGGTATAAATAGGACGGTTCGCAACTGTCCAGATGGCAATGTTGTGGAATGCAGACATTGCATGTCTAGTTGTGCTGTTTCTGCCATAAGACTTGACCATAGGGGACTCAAAATGAACCATCCTCATGAGTCTCTACATTACATGATATATAATGCGACTTAAACTATCATGGCTCAGTCCTATGGAATCCTAAGATTTAAAGTTTGGTGAAGAATTCTATGCTAATGAGCTTTAGGGCCCTTCCACACAGCCATTGTTGTTGTTCATTCGTTCAGTCGTCTCCGACTCTTCGTGACCTCATGGACCAGCCCACGCCAGAGCTCCCTGTCGGCCGTTACCACCCCCAGCTCCCTCAAGGTCAGTCCAGTCACTTCAAGGATGCCATCCATCCATCTTGCCCTTGGTCGGCCCCTCTTCCTTTTGCCTTCCACTTTCCCCAGCATAATTGTCTTCTCTAGGCTTTCGTGTCTCCTCATGATGTGGCCAAAGTACTTCAACTTTGTCTCTAGTATCTTTCCCTCCAGTGAGCAGTCGGGCTTTATTTCCTGGAGGATGGACTGGTTGGATCTTCTCGCAGTCCAAGGCACTATCAGCACTTTCCTCCAACACCACAGCTCAAAAGCATCGATCTTCCTTCGCTCAGCCTTCCCTAAGGTCCAGCTCTCACATCCGTAGGTGACTACAGGGAATACCATGGCTTTGACTAGGCGGATCTTTGTTGTCAGTATTCACTATTTTATCGAGACTGGACATTGCTCTCCTCCCAAGAAGTAAGCGTCTTCTGATTTCCTGGCTACAGTCTGCATCTGCAGTAATCTTTGCCCCTAGAAATACAAAGTCTGTCATGGCCTCCACGGTTTCTCCTTCTATTTTCCAGTTGTCAATCATTCTTGTTGCCATAATCTTGGTTTTTTTGACGTTTAGCTGCAACTCGGCTTTTGCGCTTTCTTCTTTCACCTTGATTAGAAGGCTCCTCAGCTCCTCCTCGCTTTCGGCCATCAGAGTGGTGTCATCTGCATATCTGAGGTTGTTAATGTTTCTTCCAGCAATTTTCACCCCAGCTTTGCATTCATCAGCCCCGCACATCGCATGATGTGTTCTGCATACAAGTTAAAAAGGTTGGGTGAGAGTATGCAGCCTTGCCGTACGCCTTTCCCAATCTTGAACCAGTCTGTTGTTCCGTGGTCAGTTCTGACTGTTGCTACTTGGTCCTTGTACAGATTCCTCAGGAGAGAGACAAGGTGGTTTGGTATGCCCATCCCAAGAACTTGCCACAATTTATTATGATCCACACAGTCAAAGGCTTTAGAATAGTCAATGAAGCAGAAGTAGATGTTTTTCTGAAACTCCCTGCCTTTCTCCATTATCCAGCGGATATTGGCAATCTGGTCTCTCGTTCCTCTGCCTTTTCTAAACCCAGCTTGAACATCTGGCAACTCTCGCTCCATGTATTGCTGGAGTCTTCCTTGCCGGATCTTGAGCATTCCCTTACTGGCATGAGAAATAAGGGCCACTGTACGGAAGTTTGAGCAGTCTTTCGCATTTCCCTTTTTTGGTATGGGGATATAAGTGATTTTTTCCAGTCTGATGGCCATTCTTGTGTTTTCCATATTTGCTGGCAAATGGCATGCATCACCTTGACAGCATCATCTTTTAAGATTTTAAACAGTTCAGCTGGGATCCGGCGTCTCCTGCTGCCTTGTTGTTAGCAATGCTTCTTAAGGCCCATTCAACCTCACTCCTCAGGATGTCTGGTTCTAATTCATTCACCACACCGTCAAAACTATCCTAATATTATTATCCTTCCTATACAGATCTTTTGTATAGTCTCGCCACCTTCTCTTGATCTCTTCAGCTTCTGTTAGGTCCCTGCCATCTTTGTTTCTTATCATACCAATTTTTGCCTGAAATAACCCAGAATATCCAGGAAGATAATCCACAATATCTAATTTGAACTGGATTATTTGAGTCCACACTACCATATAATCCAGTTCAATGTGGATTTTATACAGCTATGTGCAAGAGTCCTTAGTCTACTCCCTTGGACTACAATCTCAGGATTTCCTATGAAGCTTGGTAGTTAAAGTGCTATCACTGTGTTATGTAGACACTGGATGGTTGAAGATGAGGTTCTATATCCAAAGACTGTAAATATAGACCTATAAGTGTATACAGTGGCTGGTGTGAACAGAGTTTGTTTGGCTAAGACATTGCTGTGACACTTGTGAAACCCTACACTTCAATCTTTTCAGTACCATTCCAGAGACTGACTGATAGCAACGTAGGATTTCTAATTGCTTGGAACAAAAAAAAAAGTTTGACTGGCTATTCTTCAGTGACTGGCTCTGCATATCAGCCAGCAGGATTTCCTATGACTGCCTCCTAATGTCTGAACATCATGAGACAGCACTGCTGCAGAAAGAGAATGGCCGAAAAGTTGGCTCACCTAATTTCCAAAGATCAATATCCAAATATCAGAAGTAGAGATATAGGGGACTGCTCAGATGACTACAAATGATTATATAGGGTGCAGAATTCAAAGAGATGGCAGATAGGTACAGAAGTTTTGGATTATAATTTTTGAAAAAATATGTCCTCCAGCCAACTTTTCCTCTTTTAAAATGTAGAACTCTGCAGTATGTGTTTCAAGATACCATTCATTCTTCTGCATCAAACCAATGGAATAAGAAAGTAGGTTGAGTCACCTCTTTTTCAATTTGGCGAAAATCTTTCTGGAATTCTTTATCAGCAGGTGAGGTACCTTGCAGAGTACTGCTGTACGTGCTGAGACCAGTCTTCAAATTTTCTTCAACCTGGAAAATAACATAAAACATAAGTCATCATATTAAAACAAAAATTATGTCAAAGCCTAGAAAGCATACTCTATAAGCTTCCAGAATTACAAGGATGTTTGTTGTTAATTTTTTTGCTAGACTTATGCAAGCAGAAACAGAAAAATGCAGTACCTGAGATTTGTAGACTGCTCCCAAAATGCCTGCTACAATTTGGAGAAGCAAGATCGCTAGCAGTCCAATGAAGAACTGAAAAACAAAAATAATTAATTTCTTCAGTAGGAGGGTGAATTACATTTGTTTACTATTATTTCTAGGAAAGGAATGCAAATGCCATATACGTGCATGCCTAAATTTATTTATTTGTAGAGATTTTTTACTTTGCTCTTCAACCACAGAGGCACTCAGAACAGTTTACAAAATGATAATTTGCCCTCAGGTTTACAATCTACTTAAGATAAATGAGATGTAATGCATAAGACAGAATGGAGCTGTGACTAGCTGACTGCCTGTCTCCCACTCAGACCCCTGTTACACTGCCATATAGAATCCAGATTGTCCACTTTGTACTGTAGACACATATAATCCAGTTTAAAGCAGATAATGTGGATTATCTGCTTTGATAATCTAGATGATATGGCAATGTAAGAGGGGCCTGAAACTGTATCCACACAGAATTTTAGCAATGGACCACTACATTGATTTCATGGTTCATTGATATAGAATTCTGTGATTTGTAATTTTTCAGATATTTCTGTAAGAGAGGTCTACTGCCACTACAAAACCCAGGATTTCACAGTATAGTGCTATGACAGTTAAAATTGTGTCAAACTGCTATACTTCTGCAATATTTATTGCCTAAGAAAACCCAATGGCTCAACAGTGGGCCTACTTTGGATAAATTAGGCTCCTTCTACATTGCCATATAATCCAATCAGATAATCCACATTATTTGCTTTGGATTGGATTATATGAGTTCATAGTGCTATATAATCCAGTTTAAATATAAATAAGTTTTATATTGCAGTGTAGAAGGGACCTTAGGCTCAATCAACACCAGGGATCCCCAAACTGAGGGATTAAACAGAGGGCCAGGTCACGGTTCCTCAAACTGTTGGAGGGCCGGATTATAATTTGAAAAAAAAATGAAAGAATTCCTTTGCACACTGCACATATTTTATTTGTAGTGCAAAATACATTTCAAAACAATACAATAATTAAAATAAAAATAATTTTAACAAATATAAATGTATTAGTATTTCAATGGGAAGTGTGGGCCTGCTTTTGGCTGATGAGATAGGGTTGTTGTTGTTGTTGTTGTTGTTGTTGTTGTGTGCTTTCAAGCCTTTTCAGACTTAGGCTGACCCTGAGCGAGGCCCGGGTAAATGGCCTTGGAGGGCCGTATTCGACCCTTGGGCCATAGTTTGAGGACCCCTGATCTACACTGCCATATAATCCAGTATCTGATCCCAGATTCTCTGCTTTGAACTGGATTATATACTACCATATAATCCACTTAAAATCAGATAATCTGGGATCAGATACTGGGTGAGTTTAGAGCCCACTCAAATTCACTATGCTCCCCCAGAGTCTTAAACTTACCATACAGAGAGCCTTTTAAGACATGTGAATACCTAAAAAATCTTACAGTGATTAAATATCGCAGACACTTTACATCAGTGAGATTAAATGTATTTCCCTCAGAGCAGCTAAGAGGCAGACTGTTTGAAATTCCCTACTCCCAAAGACTATGCCCCTGTGGAGGAAATGAAATAGAAACAATAGAACACCTTTTATTGCAGTGCTGCTATTACACAGTGTGACGTAGCCAATTTTTATACCCAATTCTGTCCTGCATGACCAGCCATTTTCTGCAGAGGATTGTTAGTTATCTTTTAGAGGACAAGTGCCACCAGGTGACTCTCATAGTGGCAAAATTCCTCACAGTGGCAACAAGGCTGAAAAAGCACCTAACTCTGACAGGGGTATTACTTGAAACCATGCAGATGTATCTTGTACAATGAACTTCTGAGATGAGAGAATTTATAATGACTGTTTGTTTACTGATGGGTCTATGGACCATAATAAATGTTGTTGTTGATACTAGATTTTATGGCAGTGTAGAAGGGGCCTTAGATTGACTCAACACTGTAGAATTAATGCAGTATGTGACCATTCTAAGTCTCCTTCTCACTGCCATTTAATCCAGTGCAAAGCAGATAATCTGGATTTTATAATGCAGTATAAAAGGGGCCAAACTGGCATGGTTCAATCCTATGGAATCCTGAAGTTTGTAGTTTGGTAGGAAGCAGTAAGACTTTGTAAAATTACAAATTCAAGATTACACATAATTGAACAATGGCAGTTGCTGTCAAACCGAATTAAATTTATAGTGCAGTTGCACCATAAGACAACATCCAACTCAATAAATTCTATGCATGCCTCCAAAGTAGTTCCATGATACATAACTGGATAGGCAAAGTATAAGGATTTATTATGGTCAATGAATGAGAGTTTGGATGGATCTAATGCAACTTCACTTGAAAAAGGAAAAATTTTAACATAATATCTCACTTTTTATTTATCTGTGAAGAACTTCTGTCTAAAGATAGCCGCTAAAAAAAAGATTACACAAATGGTACTCCGTAAGAAATAGAACACTCCGTAAGAAATAAAAATATAAAGAAGCAGCCTTGGAAGATCCACTGCATTTCTTTGAAATGAATACTTTCAATCCCATGTTTTTTCCCCTTTTATTAAAACTTTGCAACAGCCAATATTACAGCATCTGCCTCTTGCTTTGGGACTTCATAGAGACAGCACATAATCTGTTTCACTGAAAACAATGCACAGAGTCAAAAGGAAACCATTCGGCTAATAAGTGATATTACAGCTCTGGATATCAGATTGGAAAGGTAGATGTTAAGGTTGTAATAGTGAAACTTTACCAGGAGAAGCATGCACTGGCTTTCCTTCATGGCACCGCAGCAACCCAGGAAACCAAGCACCATGATAATAGCACCCACAGCGATGAGGACATTGATACCAGAAACCAGGCTGCTGTCTATATTTAATTCCTGTGAGGACAGAGGTAAAACATCTCAAAGACAGATAACATTATGTAACACAGTTTTTATTACTGGGTTATAAATGTCATTTTCTAATTAATTTTGTTACATAGTGTAATACAAGAATTTTATTGATTTAAAACATTTATATTCTGCCCTTCTCATCCCGAAGGGGACTCACGCCAGATCACAACCTATGTGTACATAGCAAACATTCAAAGCCGGAACATAAAATAAACTGTAAATATACATAAACACTAAAAAGCTGAGGTAAACCCAAATCTGTTCCACTAGCCTATTGTTATGTAGTGAGATCAGTAAGAAGAGCCTTTGCACCACTGAAATGGGAGCCCCCAGTGGTGCAATGGGTTAAACCCTTGTGCCTGCAGAACTGCTGACCGACAGATTGGTAGTTCGAATCCAGGAAGTGGGGTGAGCTCCCATCTCAGCTCTAGCTTCCCATGCGGGGCCATGAGAGAAGCCTTCCACAGGACAGTAAAACATCAAACATCCGGGGGTTCCTGGGTAACATCCTTGCAGATGGCCAATGCTCTCACACCAGAAGCAACTTGCAGTTTCTCAAGTCACTCCTGACACGAGAAAAAAATACCCACTGAAATATCATGAGTTGCATATGTGGTGAACAGGGTCAACTCAAGAGACTTTTATCATTCCCACCCTCTTGTCAAGCTGCCCAAGGACATCTGAGTTAGCCTGGCACTTTCAGCAGTAAAAATGCAACAAATAATAAAATCATAACTATCAATTTGCTGCCTTTTCATGAAATCTAAAATATATTGCCTTAGGTTGCTCTCTGGCTTTGGCCTTACAATACAACTGATACAGGTTATATTGCATCATCATCATCATAATCAATAACATAGTAATGGAACAATAATGAATTAAAATGCAATACATACCATCCATTAAAAATATAAATACCCAAGATCATTGCTTAACTATGGCAGGAGAAGATAAAGCCATTGTGATACCTATGATATAATGTTAAAACTACAGTAGCTCCCTATTCAGGCATTCAATAGTCTAATTTAAGTAGTCACATATTTGGTGGGAAGTGTAATGCTTACTCTCTCAGCTAGATGTATTCCTCACCCCAATTAAATCTATATTGAAAATAGCACAGCTTGGGCCACAGAAAGAGTGAAAAGCCTTGGGAGACTCTCTCTGCTTTGAAATGTTCCAAGCTAATTAATCACCTAATATTATTTTACATTTTAATGTATGCTTTAAAACACACAAATCAATTATATGGATTGAGGCCAATATGTATAAGTACCAAGTAGATAAGATTTCTCATTTTTCTAATTAGCCACAAACGTAGGGACTGCCAACTACCATTAACATGCAATTAGGTTGTATGCTTGTTCTTGGTTTGATGGACAGAATTTTTTTCACTCACTCATACACATTCCACCACAAATGGTACTCGGATCCACACAACTCAATGCATTCCTGGATAATTGAAATTTAAAATTCAAACCTACAATCCTACCCCAGTCAATACAGTTGTGCTTCCATCTATCGATAGATAGTTAGGTCGCTAAATAGATGGGTAAATGTAGAATTATCTCTGCTTGTGTGCAAATTTCCTTTACCTCTCTTTTATAGGACATTTATTTTGGGAACTAGTCAAAAGAAAGTCTATACTCTAAAATGCAAAAAGGTTTTATCATTTTTTTAAAAGCAAATAGGAAAAAAAACATTTGGGATTAACTTTTGCTGTTGGCTACATGCTTTGATACAAATACAAAAAACAACTTCTTATATCTAAAATGCAATATATCAAATAGCAAATCTATTTCCTGGAAACAATAGTTTCTTTTAAAACACATAAAGTCTAGAGCAGTGGTTCTCAACCTGTGGATCCCCAGGTGTTTTGTCCTACAACTCCCAGAGGTCCCATCCAGTTTACCAGCTCTTAGGATTTCTGGGAGTTGAAGGCCAAAACATCTGGGGACTCACAGGTTGAGAACCATTGGTCTAGAGCCAAACTTAAGTTTCAATATCAATAAACAAAATGGAGAAAGAACACTTACTCCTTGAGCTGTTTTGCTTACACGCAGCCATATAGAGACTCCCAGAATAATGCATCCACATACCTGGTTAAGAAAAAAAAGATCAATAGCTTATAAAGAATGTGAAACAATTACTTTGAAAGAGGTTCTTAAAAAGTATCACAATAATCCGTTTGGCCTCGGACTTCATCACATGTAGAAATTTGCCCATCCTATGGCACTTTCACCACAGTTCAGGGATGGAGCCTGCCAGATCCCGCCAAATGATATAAATCTACTTCCAGCAGGGCTCCATTCCTGAACTGTGGTGGAAGTGTAGTAAGAGGGAGCAATGAGGACACAGGAGGCTTCCCGTTTTCTTGTTGCCAGCAATGGGTGAGCACGAGGGGAAGCGGGTTAGCAACCCTTTCCCCCATGGGAGTGAGAAGGCAGTGCTGTGGGATGCTGGGTGCTGAATTACCCACTGCCCACTGAATTTGCCATGCTACCTGGCAAATCCCCCTATTGTCACTTGCACTGGACAATTGAATGTGATCAGGTCCTTAATATACTTGCATCTAGCTGACACCATCATCTCTACCAGGGATGCCATATTTGCTGGTATATGATCAGGCACAACACTATCATTTGTGTCGTTTGCTCTTATATTTAGTTTGCAAGATGTTTTCCCCAAAAATATAATCAGTGAACATCTATGAGGACTAGAGCCCTAGTTCTAACCCTTTTTATTGGGGAAAGAAATAGCTTGGCTTACATTCAAACTAGACATTAAGGGGAAAGTTTTACACCTCTGATTATTCCATTTTACGTCCCACAGTGAGTTTTTCCCAGAGCTGCATACCTCAGCCATTAGACTCACAAATTAAGTCTGTGTTTGGCATGTAAAGTGTAATCACAAAATAAAACATGGTAAATATTTAAAAAGCAGAGGTGAAGAAAATAATATGGCACAGTAAACAGATCTTCCACGGCTTTTCTAAACATAAGCTCATCAGGTGTTCAGTCGGCCCTCCACATTCATGGGTTTAACTTCATGGATTTGACTATTCACAAATTATCTGGGTGTATCCCTTGGTTGCTGTTAGCAGCGGGCAATGGATTTAATAATTTCTCCCACTCAAGATTGGCTGAGTGAGAGCAGTCCTTCCGTCTGCTCTCCCCTTTGAGCAATGATACAACAAATTTGTTTGCTCCCATCATTTCCCCTTTCTGTGGGCCAGAGAAGGAATGATCCACCCTTCTGCTTCTTCTCTGCCCAATTGCCTTTCCTATCCTAGCCCACTTTGCATGTTACTTCATGCTCCGTTGAATCAGGATGGACTGAGTATTGTCCACATGAAAATCTGAGTGGAGACTCACAGTAGTGTTCTGGATGACCTCTGCAGATTTATTTATCATGTCAAAAGCAAACCGAGGGTACAGTTGTAATGTATTTAAAAACACAAAGTTTAAAACTTGGCATTATATTAAATGTCCTTTGACCAGTAGCTGGCTACTTGGAGTGCCTCTGGTGTTGCTATAAAAAGGTCCTCCATTGTGCATGTGTCAGAGCTCAAGCTGCATTGTAATAGGTGGTCTGTGGTTCACTCTTCTCCACACTCGCATGTCATGGACTCCACTTTGTGGCCTCATTTCTTAAGGTTGGCTCTGCATCTTGTGGTGCCAGAGCACAGTCCTTTCAGTGCCTTCCAAGTCACCCAGTCTCCTGTGTGCCCAGGTGGGAGTCTCTCATTCGATATCAGCCATGGCTTGAGGTTCCAGGTTTTAGCGTGCTACTTTTGGACTCTCGCTTGCTGAGGTGTTCCTGCGAGTATCTCTGTAGATCTTAGAAAGCTATTTTCTCATTTAAGGTGTCAGAGTACTGGTTGATATCCAAATAGGGGATGGGCTGGAGATGTCGCTGCCTTGATCCTTTCATTACTGGTTACTACTTCCCAGCGGATGTCAGGTGGGCAATACTGGCTAAACAGTATAATTTCTCCAGTTGTGTGGGGCATAGACATCCTGTAATAACGCAGCATGTTTCATTAAGAGCCACATCCACTGTTTTAACGTGGTGAAATGTGTTCCGCACTGAGCATGTGTATTCAGCAGCAGAGTAGCAAAGTACAAGGGCAGATGTCTTCGCTGGTTTCCGCAGATAATTCCTGGTGACTGTGGTCAGGCACTGGGCTGGATCTTTCCTGGACCAGTCCACTTGCTCCTTGTACTATACCTTGTCCCAAATTTAATCCCCAGAAGATTCCCACAGCAGGCATGCCTCGGGCATATGGAGAAGGGGGGGGGGTGTTTTCAAGCTTGTCTTGGCTAACAATCCTTTTGAGGCAGAAATAAGAGGGAACTCCATTGTCCAGAACTGCATAAAATTGAGGTTAAGACCTTTAAACCAAAGGGAGAGAATGGCATTGGCATTCTTAGTCTCTCTGCAGGTGTTGCAAAAGTGAGAGAGATTGCACCACATTTGTTCTGTGATGAATATGGTTTTGGGGGGCTTATGGTATTTACAAATTTTCCACTTTCATGGTGATCTTGTACCCTTAACCACCAAGAATATGGAGGTTGGACTGTACTATTTCCCTACTTTATGTATGCAGAGATTGTTGTATCCTCCCCTCTCCCCTACCCTATCCCATATCCATTTGTAGTGGATGGAGATAACACTCAGGTAATGACAACACCCAGGTCACTAAACCACATATGTGTTCCTCTTTTTATCTGAGAAATGTTGAAGCTAGGTTATATCAATTGATTCCTGGCCAGGATATGTCATGCTACGTGCTCTGCTAGCCTGCTGTGCTCCAATTGCTTCCACATTCCTGTCACAGAAGTACCTATGTTTCTGTGATGTTTAGATCGTGTTGCAGGTCCTCTGCTCTGCAAACAACAGCATGTTAAGCATACAAATGTTTTATGCCTCTGTTGATTATTACAAGATGCCTTTTCAACACCAGGCTTGGAACTACATTTTCAGTGAATTGAGGGAAATGTAGCCAAAAGACAGAGTGTGAGTTAGTGTTACTAGAACATCACTAGCTTCTACTACTTTGCAATCCATGTGGAAGGCAAAAGTTATTAATAGTAAGAATGGACAAGCTAGGAGAGGCTGCAACAATTTTGTTTTTGAATCCCATCAATGATAGAATTGGGCCAAACTTCCCACACAGAACCCCCATGACCAACACAAAATACTTTTTCTGATGGTCCTTGGTGACCCCTCTGATTCCCCCTTCCAACACCCCCCCCCCTCTAGGGGTCCTGATACCCAGGTTGAGCAACACTGCTCCATGCCTTCACTGCTACAAGAGTATAAAATACTTTTGCATTTTGAATGAACCTTAGAGCAGTATAAGTACTAGTAGGGAAGAAAGAGAGAAGGAGCCAAGGGAAACTGGGACATTTTAAATGTAGCAGACAAAGTCAGGACTGTCCCTGTTGAACTGGGACAATCGGAAAGTATAAGAAAGGTGCTGAGATCAAAGTGCTTCCCAAGACCTAAAAATTCAAAACAAACAGATATGCAGTAAATAAATTTCTGGTGGGTAGTAAAGTTTTACAACCCCAAATAATGGAAATTTTGTGGTGGGGTACTCTGAAAGAGTTCTAAAACCATTCAAAATCACTGGAAAGTCATTTCTGATAAGCAGATATGGGAATGATAAAGCCAAAAAAATGGACTCCTGACTCTTTACTCATGCACATCACTGCTTTAGATCTCTATCACTCTCCATGCAGCCTATTGACTGATGAGAGAGAGAAATATTGGGGAAGAGAAAAAGAAAAGGGGTGACTCTAAGTCCTAGGAACTGCCCAACTCTGATGTTAGTTTGCAGTCTCAAAAAAACACAACCCTACACAGAAAAAATATCTCTATTCCTGCTCTAAAGTATCATTGAAATGCTTTATTATACCATAGATACAGATTCTTAATCATCAATGTAGTCTCAGTTCTTTGAAAACTGTTATATCCTGACCATAGAATCTCTGGGAGATTGCTTCGTCTCTGTCATGGCAAAAAAGAAAAAAGAAAAAACAGACCCAGGTTAAGTAAAACCAGCTGGATTAAATGTCATACTAAAGTGCCTACCAGCTAAAAGCACTTGATAGTTGCATTTATCTGAAAGAGTGATCAAAACCTTCTGTTGTGTTCCAATATAATTGAGAACATAGGAGCTGTTTCCTTAGTACACGGTAGGAAGGGAGTAGCTATATTTGTTTAAAACATTGCATTAGCACGTCTAGCAATGAAACGGAATGGCTACACTCCCTTTTGCATGTTTGTTCCATAACGGAAATCTTCATGTTTTATTACCACAATTCAAGGCTGATGTATTTTGGTGTATCCTGGTCTACCGATGGATGGCATGTTGTTCCCTGCTCTATGCACACACACCAGTTTTTTCTCTCTGCATCTGGTTTCCTTTGGGATCCAGAAACAGGAAGCAAGTGCTGTGACTTTGCATTTGCCATGAATAACCAGAGATACAAAGCTGAGAGGAAAATAGACTCCATATCCTAAATTTGTCATTGCCACTTATTATTTATCAAGTGCCTAATATGAGCTGTGTATGTGGGGGGAAGGGGTTCAAAAGACCCATTCTGTGTTTGTGGCTCATATGTGCACACATGTGCATTAAAAATAAGGGAGGGATGGAGTGAACCTGCAAGGAAAGGAGGAAATTTATACATGTTGGGAAAGGAGAATTGAAACTGAATTAAAATTAAGTTGTCTGTGCCTGATAAGATATGGGCATTTCACATTTAAGTTCCCTATTTCCAAGAAGCATGCATACACCCAAAGTAACAATTCCCAAGCCCTTGTGCCATAGCTAGATTTCAGCTATATAAATGGTGGCAATTCACACTTGTCCTGACTGCAGGTGCTTCTTTGGGATGAATGTTTTGTCATATTGCAAACCTGCTGACTTTTTGGTCCCCCCCCCCCTCAGTTCACTTCCCCCTCTTTTCCACCATCTTCTCATGAACCTGACATAATTGACTTTTACCTGTTCTACTATTGCAGATTTGGAGCCTTGAAGGGAAGGATATCCCATTTGTGTGTGTTTCTCAGCCCCCATCTACACAGC